TAACTATTCTACTATATACAAATTTGACAATTACACAAACCTCAATCTCTTTTTATTCGTGTTCTTCTTGTACTACTTTTTTTTTTTATAACTATAGTCATTGTAATATAGAAACAAGTCAATTGAAAGCCTATAAAAATAGATGGAACATATATGTATACAACTATGACCTATATAAAGAACAGGAGATAATCAATCAACTGATATCTGATGAATTCAAATTACAAAAATTTCTCCTAAAATCATCAAATTAAAGATCTTAAATTGAAAGAAATTTGGGAGAAAAATACATAAATTTTGTGATATAAGAAGATTGATGAAAGAAAAAGTATTAGTGAGGGTAAACATGGAGAACCAATTACATAAAACATGCCTACACATAATAAATTAGGTCTGTAACAATAACTTTCCTATTTAATATTAATAACTTTTCTAATTATTTTTATATATAATTAACTTTGCTAATTTATTGTGTAACTATATCCATATAACATTAAAAAATAAATTGTAACTATTTATTTTAAATGTATTTTAATGTTTGCCATATTTTGTAATTTTTCCTAAATATTTTAATAAATTTTTGGTAAATATAAGCTGGCTTTCCTGGTCTTCCACTGTTGATAATTAAGAATGAAGACTAAATACCAAAAGAAATACTATATTATTTTGTTTGGTACATATTTAATACTTTTAGTATATGGTTTTCCAGTCATTTTTAGTCTATAGTAGAAACGTCTAAATTTTGAATGGCGCACATAATATGATAAATCTGCCTCATGCATATTTGCCTTCTTTTGATCAAGTCAATTTGGGCTTCCTCAGACAGCCCAAATAAGGACATTTGTCGGGGAAAATAATGATTATGTAATATACCTATAGTTTTGATTATTTTTAACGTGTGGTTATTAATTTTGTAAAAAGAAAAAAAAATTATTTATTTTTTTAATTGTATAAATTTAAAATTTTTATAATTTGGCCTCTGATTGTATAAATTCAGAATTTGTATAATTCGCTTCTTGATTGTATAACTCATAATTTTTATATGTTTATTTTAACTATTTGTACATGATTTAAGAAAAGATCATAATAAATTATCATTTTTGTATTTTGGCACGTAAAATATTCAAACGGCTTTTGAAAATTTTCTATATGTATAAATACAAATTTTGTATATACTTACCTTGTTTGTATATTTGCAAGCAAAATATACAAACGGACAAGCAAAATATATAAATATACAATTATGGAGCGCAATTACTGAAACCAGCGTTTTAAAAAATATATTTGGAGCGAGTCTTGGGGCGAGATGTACTAAAAATGCTTCGGGACGTAAATGAAAGACGTAGATCCATAAGGCGTAAATCCTAAAATTTGAGGCGTAAGCCTCAAGCATAAAAACGCAAGTACTGGGCGTAAAAACGTACACATGGGACTTACATGAGAATACGCTCCGTAGATCCATGGGACTTACGCTTCGTATCTCGAGGCTTACGCCTCATTCTATACTGTATAAAACGTCACGCCTCACCCCCCCACCCCCCCGCCTTTTAAAACATTGACTAAAACTATATTGGTGAGCTTTACCACGCCACAAAACATATATACATACATACATACATACATACATATATATATATATATATATATATATATATATATATAATTCTTCGTCTCATTTATGTGTCATAGTTCATATTTCTGGATTTCTTAATTGTTTTTTTATTGTGAACTTAGATATATACAGAAGCTTTTAAGATTTTTGAAAATAAATTATCTATATTTAAAAATTACGTAAAAAGTAAATAACTTATAGATGGAGAGAAATCATCCATTCTGATTTTGAAAGACTTGTAATCTGATAAGTAATAAAGAACTTTTTTATAAAAAATATGAAAAAACTAACAATCATACTACATATACAATTATTGAAGAAGGAATCAAGAAAAAAAAATATTGAAAGCCATGAATTTGGTGGTTACCTGCGAAAAGTGAAGAACATCGGAGGGAGAAGGTCAAAATTTTCCCAATGGAAATTCAAATTAGAAGGAAAGAATAATTTTAGGAAAAGATATGGAATGAGAACAGGAGAGATAAATTGGATTTTGAATAAAATTATATAAAAATCTTTAAATGATATTTTTATCATATATACAAATAGTTAATGGGTCTCATTAATTATGACAAAAAAAAATTAAAACTAAATCCTTATTAACTAAATACACAGAGATGTTTGTCTTCACCTGTAATTTTCCCTAAAAATTATATTAAAAAAATAAGTCGTTTAAATTTAGAAATTCAAAGGGAACCACACAATATGAATTCATGAAGGGAGTAGAATTTGACTGCCAATTAGCTAGAGAAGAATTGAAGGGCCACACATTAATTGTTTGTCCAACAAGCCAAGTTAATGTTGTTGTGAATTATATTACTATATATATATATATATTTATGAATATTATGAATAGAACAGTCAATTTGCCACGTTTTTCCATTACTGAATTTAGATCAAAATATTTTCTTTTAACATCCATTCGTGTAAGTTCAATTTTGTGTACTTGTACAAGGAGCATGAAAACAGCTTCTTGTTCTATATCCACATTCAGGATGGATTAATGACCAAGTTATTTAAAAAAAACATCCAATTCCTTTCGTTATATCTGTTTGCAATAAATTTTAAACTGACGAAAAATAAATTATAATAACAAAAATATATATAAAGAAATAAGAATATTTTATTAAAAGCAATGCCAATGCACTTTTTTGTTCCTCCTTTGATTTCTCGGTGATTTGAGAGTACGTATTTCTCGAACTAAAATGATTAAAATTTACCTATCTTCTTGAATATTTTGATTATCTAAAGAGTTTAGGAGATATTTGAGAGAGATGTTTTCGTGGTGTCTTTATGAATATTCAAAAATTTATGGAATATTTTTGGTTGACTTTTCAAGAGAATATAATATCCTTTAAATAGACACGAACCAGGGTCTTAGCTGGAGCAGCCTCCAAGAAGCCTAATGAAAATTAAACTCGTATTATTTAGTTCAACTGAAATAAACACACCCATCTTGTAAAGTCCGATAAAATTTTGATGTCCACAACATTGCCTAGACATTTACCTAAGGCATGATCAAACTATTTGAGACGAGTATTATCTTTTAAGAAGCTTATATTATAGAGTAAGGTTTTGAAAATTCTTTATAATTAATTATGAAGAAGAAGAATTAACGATATTTGACGTCCAATTGATGAGTTAATCAAATATAACGGGTTATAAGATATGTAAGGTATTATATATGGAATGTTAATTAATTATAATAAGACAGATTATTGTAGTAAAATATTGGGTGCTCATATATAATATATAAATATATATATATATATATATTGAATAGTCTTATTTATCGGACTTCAACTTAAATTTCGAGACGATCGATCTGAATTCTGAAGTTAGAAAATTTGGTAATTTCCCACTTTTGACTAATCTCCTTCCCAAAAAAAAAAACAAAACAGATAATATCATGGAAATTAAAGAATGTCTGAATAAAAATATTTAAGATGAAATTCACTCATTTTTTCCCAGATATATCATGCCAAATTACTATTTTTAGCATGTGGTTATATTATATGAATATTATTGACCTAATATGATCTTTTTTTAAAAATTAAATTAGAAAAGTATTTTATTAAATTAATCTTATTAATGATCTTTCGGATTCTAAATAAGATACTGTTGATAAGGATAGTATATACGATAAAGAATAATAGTAAGTTTTCATTGAAATGGACAAATAAAATGAAAAATTTATTTTTATCATAGAGACCAAGTAAAATAAAAAATCTTATTACTGATCTTTGGGGTTATAAATATGATATTGTTGATAAGGATAGTATATACGAGAAAGAATAATAGTAAGTTTTCACTGAAATGAAAAAATAAAATAAAAATTTATTTTTATCATAGAGACCAAGTAAAATAAAAGCACCGAAGTGAAACACAAATATATATAATAAATTGTCGCTACTTGAAATCGAACAAAAGTATTTGCTATGGTGTTGAACAATTCTACTACTAATCATACATGCTCTTTAATAGGGTTTTGCACTTAAAAATCTGATGGAATCCTTCCATTTTTGGAAGAGAAAAATAAAAAAAACTGAGAGGCTTCGTATTTTTTTTTAAAAAATAATTTTTTATTTTATAAAATAGCTTTCACATATTTTTGGCCGAAAATAATCAATGGATGTTAATTTATGTTATTTTTTTTTAAAAAAAAAAAAGAAAATCAGTAAAACCCTACACAAACTTTCATTTTTTCAATCATTTTTAAAACTTTTTTTTAGTAGTGCTCTATTATTTGGATCATAACCCTATTTATAATTACACATTCGAATATCTACCCATATAATTTAATACTCCTACAAGAAAATTGTGAATTACATAGAAATTTTCCTGAAAATTAGTATGAAATTTCGAAGAAAACTTTTTTTTTCCTGTAAATTTTCATACTAATTCCCAAAAATCAACATGTAATTCACAGTTTTCTTGTAGCGTTTCATGAATCGTCTTAGATCCGATCAACTTCAAACATAAATTAACATATCATTAAAATTTGAGATAATTTTTTTATGATATATAGTAATAAACATACTTCTTTAATTATTAATACATACATATATATGTGCAACTCCATATATTCTTACAAAGAAAATTCAAATAACTCTTTTTATGAAGAAAATTCAAAAATTCATATTATTATCCAAACTCAAAAAAGTTGGTATATATAATTATATATATGTATAAAGGGTATTTAAAAAAAATAAAATACTCCTTCATTAAAAGCGTGTTTGAAGGATTAAACTCTCCATAAACCCTTGAGAGTCAAAAAATTCAAACTCTTTTACTCTTTTTCTTCTTTCTTGTCAAGTGTCAAACCAAATACTAGTATTTTCTTGAGTTCCAATCTCAATAGTAGAAAAGTAGCCAAGACCCTAGGAAATTAATGATCAAACATAAAGAATTTAAAATATCAATTAGTATAAATAGCCTATATGAGAATAGGTCATATATCATATACTCATTCAATACACAAAAATTAAAAAAAAAAACGTCATTTTATTTATAACTTGTCGATAAAGCCATGCAACGTTCAATATCTTCTTCCAAAAATGTATGCAACCAAATTCTCCGGCTCGGTAAACGACTCGAGCCGGGGATGAATAAATATCGCACACCTTGCGATATTTTTATAAATCATAGGGGAATCGATACGAAGCAAAATGTCGCGGGGTTGTTATACGAACATATTAAAAATAATCTCGGGCTTCGTCCGTTCTTGGATAGCAAGAACATGAAGCCCGGCGATAAATTGTTCGATAAAATTGACCCCGCGATTCGCCATTGTAAAATTGGGGTGGCTATATTTTCACCTCAATATTGTGATTCGTATTTTTGTTTACATGAACTGTCTCTAATGATGGAATCAAAAAAGAAGATCATACCTGTTTTTTGTGATGTTAAGCCTTCTGAGCTTGCTGTGAAGGATTTGAATCTTAATTTTCCTAATAAAGATTTGGAGAAATTTAACTTGGCTCTTGAGGAGGCAAAATACACCGTTGGACTCACATTTGATACCTTAAAAGGGTGAGTATGTACAATTTTTTCGTCTCAATTTACGTGTTATTCTTTTTTTTAAAATTTTTTTACAAGAAAAATGCCAACGTACTTCCTTATTTCCTACAATTTTTTGTCTTGATTTATGTGTTATACATTTCTTTATGATTTGTTACAAGAAAGAACGTCATACTTCTTATTTAAAAACAAATTTACGTTAAATTTTTTATTTTACAAATAATGAGATGATTTAAAGCTAAACAAATATTTTTATGACTTATTAAAAATCTCAAATTTCAAAGAGTTTTTTTTTCGTTCTTCCATAAATTTTGTGTCCAAGCAAACACAATCGTATAAATTCAGACAAAACGGCTAAGTTTCCTTTTGCACAATTTAAACAATGGTGACACACCTAAACTATCAAATTATCTGCTATCTTTCACAACTGATGTTTAAACAATTTTTTAAAAAAGAAAACTAAATTACTAATTTTAATTTATTTTTTCCAAAAAATAATAATCTTTTGTTGAGATTTGAACTCTGATCTTTCATGATTTTCTTTGCACTTTATTGACCAAAATAGGCTACATTATAAAGTGCAAGTATTGACTCGATACCATTATCGTATTGAAAATATGAACTTATAAAATGATGTTTATTGAAATACGTGTGACATAGCTTATTATGACTTTGTTATTATAGAAAAATAGAATATATTAGATAACCAAATTATACGGAACATTAAAACTTTATTATACTTCAATGATATAATTATTGTAATCTAATATACTTATACAATGTTGTTTTTTGAAGGGATTGGTCAGAATTTTTGGTTAAAGCTTCAGATGCAATAATGAAGAACTTGTACGAGGTAGAAAGAGAGAAGTTTATCAACAGAAAAAAATATATTCGTAGACAACAACTTTTGCATAACTATTGATCAAGTAAAAAAGATATATAATACAATAAATTCGAGCCAGAAGAGATTGTTCAGGTGGTAAATATCTTCGAGGCTCGAGCCACTTAAGAAGCACAAAAAAAAAGTGGAAGCATAAAATAAAATCTAATAAATTCTCATGCATTCATTTGTTTATTAATTAGTTCAAATTCTTTTTTTAACAGAAGTCCTTTAATTAGGAAGACTCAAAGGACTTTTTCCTAGCTAACACATTCAATATTCATTCTTCTTCTTTTTCTTCAATAATTTGTCATGTAATATGAAAGTTTTTTAGACTTTTTTTTTTTTAGTCTATGTAATCAATCAAATCAATCTAATATAATGCATAGATGATTCTTGAATATTTCAAGCACTTTTTCTTAATAGACGTTTGGCTATGTGATCAGGGACGGACTCACACTATACGGTGGGGTACACGTGTACCCGATAACTTTTGAAAAAATCATATGTATATCTATTTTGAAAAACTGATAGAAATTAAGATATAGTTAACAGTGCACCCATAAAAAACATAGAAGTACTCTTGTGCAATTAGTAAAAGATACCACCCTTGAGACCAGGATTAAATCTTCAAATCTTGGGTTAATTGGCCCATTCTGCATGCAATTTAATCTCATAAATCATGAGAGGACTAATTCTTGGTTTTACTACAAATTAGGTATACTATGTTTTTGTACTTTGAGGTTTGACTTATTTATATCGTCTGTGGTAAATAACTTTTTTTTCCCTTTGAATTGGACAAAATAGAAAAGTCATTTATTGGATACTAATGATAAAGACTTTTCAAAATTCAAACTCTCTTTGTGCTCATTTTTAATCATCATAAATATTTAACGAATTTTGTATAAATTAGGAATTTTACTCAATATTAATAAGAGAGGAACTCACGTTTGTACCAGAAGAATTGCAATTTATTATATTTTTATACAATAATTAAGTATGGTATATGAGTACAATTAGATGTTTTTATTTTTTACTTATAATTTTATGTGATGCTTTAATAATTGATTGAATTTTGTGAGGAATAATGTAGCAATGAGCGTATACTGAACTAGAGAAAAAAAATCTACACAAAATAACTCACATTGTTAATTAAAGCTTAGACCTTTTGTCACAATTTGAAGGAAAAAAAAGGTTTAGATTAATTTAAATTTAAGTGCACACTTTTTTAATATAAAATTTTACCTAATGAATGACTATTATTTTCGTAGATATTTTTTGAAAATGTTTGAAAAAAATTATAGTCATAAAAAGAATACAGTTTAACTCTTCCATTGACAAATTTACGTATTTTCTTATTAACCAAAATATATAAACTACCCACATTTATACATAAGTACATGTACTATATAATATCAATAACATTATATTTTACTTTAATTTAATTAAACAAACTACTATTTAAGTTAATTTTCCTTTTTAGTTAAAAAAAAAGGTCGAAAGTCGACAGGACATAATCGTACGACGAAACATTAGCCGACATTAATTATTTATTTGGACCATAATAATCACCGCCGGACTTATATAGTCCTAATTTAATTTTGTCCTTTTTTTGGATGATAAAAATCATAATATTCCCTTTTAATTTTTTTAATATTTAAAATTTGTCTCATATCGTTTTATTGTTTGTTCTTTAATTCTTGGAACTTTACATTCCCTTTTTGGAAAAAAAGAAAAAAAAAATAGGTCAGTCAGCCTGGTGTGCTGAGGCCAAAAAATCTGCGACTTGGTCTACTTTAAGTTTCTTTATATATCTCCCTCTAGCCTAGCTTGGGATCGCAATGGGGTGTGGTTGGTTTAAAATTTTGTGGGGCGGGTTTAAGGTTGTGGAGGGCTCGGGGGAGAGGTGCGGAGTGGATTTTAAAAAAATTAATAAATAGTGTGGTTATGTGATTTTATGCGCGTTTAAATTTAATTTTAATTTTTTACGTGTTATAAGAGTGATATATTGAGAATTTTTAATTTAGATAATTTCTTTGAAGTTAGTAAAATATTGAAGATAGTAAATGAAAATGACTCAGTAAAAATTAATTCAATTTCTTATATGTTTTTCAATTGACCTCTAAAAAAATAAAATTTTAAGTTATTATACTATTAAATTTACAACTTAATGAAAAAATGAATTTATTTTTATGAATTTTATTTTTAATATCAAAGTTAATTAGAAAAAGAACATATCAAAAAAATTATACGGAACAGCTTCATGCAAAGCGAGTCTATGCAAGGCGGGGTGAGCCGGATTAAAAATGAGAAAAATGGTTATGCGGGGTGGGGCGGGCATGGATTAAAAAATGGGAAAATTGTATATAATAGCAAACTAATAACCTAAAATAAATGGAATAGCTAGGGTTTGATATAATTGTGCTCCATAGCAAACGTTAGCTAAAATTTGCCAGCGTCTCTCTCCCAGAAATCTCGCTCGCCACTCTCCATTCTTGCTCGCCTCTCTCACTATATACATAGAAGTGTATAATTCTGTTTCTGTTTTGTATAAAGCGAGAGAAAATTGTATATACACATGCAAAAATATATATCTTCGTGTTATACACTTAATTATACAATTTACAAACATTCTACTTCAAATATTGCAGAGAAAAAGGTCAACGAATTATATAATTGCGAATTATACAATTGCAGTGAAATACAATTTTCTCTAACTTTATACAACATAAGTGTATATATTGTGTTTCTGTTTTTGTATAAAGCGAGAGAAAAACATATATCTTCTTGCTATACACTTAATATTACAGCGAAATAGGCAGTGAATTATACAATTGTGCATTATACAATTACAGTGAAATAGGATAACGAATTATACAATTGCAGCGAAATAGGCCAGCGAATTATACACTTGTATATGTATAGCGAATTATACAGTTTTTATGTTTGCTATGGAGCACAATTATGCAAAGTTTGCTATAGCATACAAATATGAATTTTTTGTTTGCTATATGTGAAAGTTGCCATTAAAAAATTTGCAGCTTAAGCTCAACCTGCTCCGCGCCCCCCCCCCCCCCAACCCCCAATTACATCCCTATGAGTAGCTGACAAAATTGTTCATGT